GGAGTTACAGCAGCATATAGGCACCTCTAATCTGTGCCAGGTTTAAGATAAAGAATAAGGAGGCTATCATTGATTATTGCTTCTCAGTTTACTTTCCTGCACTAAAACCACATGGAAAGCAAAGAGTTGTTACTGCTGGGTGCCACGTTAACACTGCCTTCAGATTTTGTTCAGGGAACTCTTTGTCTGTCCTAGATATACTTGATTGTTTTGTAACTATGGTTGCTCTAAAGGGTCACAGTTTAGTCCCTCAGGGTAACAAATCACAAGTAAGACTGTTAACCAGTATCTGTCATAAGTGTAAGAAACATCACAGTAATTTGGGATAGCTGTCTATATCTCCATCTTTATTAGAGGCTGGGATTTTGAATTGTATGTGTGATGTTATTGAAGCCACTCAGACTTCTCACCTTCTTGGCAGGCTCTTTTTGAATAGCGTGCTGTCTGCCATTCTGGGCCTTGGGCTTCTGCTGCTCGTCGCTTGCTACGTCTTTGTGGAGTTCTTCATTGACCCCATGATGCTTCGCTCCGACTGGCACTTTGAAGGTACTAGCAGTGCTTCAGTTGAGCATCCTGTGAATTAGCCAGCATATCTTGATATGGGATTGGATTCTGTGGACTCTGCCACTGAGGAGGAACTCCATTCCTTACTCTTTCAATTTTATATTTCTGCGAGAGTATCTCTGCTCAGCTGGATGGAATGTCTTTCTATCCAGAGCTGACTAACTGCTCTTCCTAAAGGCCTTGCAGACATAAGATTTTAGACCTCCAGTGCATAATGGGTCTGCAGCTACTTTTGAGTTAACAATATTTCCAGCTGTAAAGTTTAGTTAGAGATAGTTAATACCTGGACAACCTAATTACCTCCAACTCTTTTTGTTTTACAGCTCTAAAAAACCACACGGACCGCTGGTTTGTGTTTCTTCCTGCAGCTCCTGTTGAGACTCGGGCATCTGCCATTTTGGTCACGGCTGGGATATTTATTCTTCTGAGCCTAATGACCGTGATCCTGCTAGGCCACCTCTTGACCTTTCACATCTATCTTAGTAGGTATTATGTTCTTGTCATCTGCATCCCCATTTCATTTTTGCTTAGCTGCTTCTACTCATTCTGCATTCACTGTGTGTTCACCCGTGTCACAAATATACGCACATTGTGCAAGATTGCCATTGAAAGGTAGAAACTTTGGGTTTAACATTATACTTCTGATTTTCCCCCAGTACCAGGTAGGATTATCAGTGCATGTTCAATATGGGGCTTGTGTTGGGTCTGTGCATTCTTGTGTCTAAGCTATGTTATCCTGGAACTGCAAGCACATTGGAGAGTAGTAGAGAGGCCAGGTGGGATAAACTGGTGAATTCCAGCTCAGTGCCAGCGATGGCAGACTCAGCTTGGCTCTGCATATGGACTTTTGTGAGTAGTCTCTTCACTGTGCTCCCTAGTACTTCTGTTGTGTGAGAGAGCCTGTTTCTCTGTTACCCCAGAGAAATGCAGACGGTGTTGATCTAAATTTCTAATAGGAGGCCTGACGTCCTGGTCAAGGTCCCTTTATGGAAGTTGTACCGTATCAGCAGAAAATGACTTGTGGAATTCAGAGGAAAAGGTGTTCAGAAAGGCTCCTCATTAGATCTCCTACTTGTTGCTCTGTCAAGAAGGGATACTTATGTTTGTTTACGTACAAATGGGCATCAAAAACCTTTTTTCAGCCATTATCTAAAATGAAGCCAATGCTATTAAGTCATGATGAGAAAAGATCTTACACTTGTAGTAGTCTGTGGTGCCAAAACTAGGGAAGAAGGGATGTGGTAGAAGAGAAATGAGGACAGTGGTTATAGAGGATCTTTGGATGGATTTTTAGGTTGTCAGTTAACAGCGATGCAGATGCCAACACAAACTAGGTCAGCACAAACCAGTGCAGCTCCAGAAGCACAATAGTTGCACTGCTTAAGTGTAGCATTTGATGGGTGAGTGTTCCTCAGCTGGCATTAACGTTACAGTTACTGAGGTCATTGACCCTCATTTTCCTTTTACAGCCTCTTTGAGCTTAACTTAAATTTGGTCACACTGCGATTTTGCTTTCTTGGTGGAATTGGAAGTTGACTTTGCTGGGTTAATGGCGATGCCTTGAGACTTCAAAGGTCGATCTAGCACTGTAGAAAGACTAAAAGCATAACAAAGCTGGGGCCACTCCAGGAAGATTTCTTTTGGATGAAAAAAAGGATTATTCGGTTTAGTACTGAGCGGTATTTATCTTGTCTTTGTGTACAACTTCCACAAGAGGGTGCTCCCTCCTTGTGATAAAGGCATGCTTTCCCTTGTCAAACAGAAATGTGCACATCTTACACTAGTTCTACTCTAGGTTTGGGGGATTTTTTGTTACTGTTGTCTGGGGGTGATTTTTTTTCCTCTTTCAGAGTAAATTTTGAGCCAAATTAACTTTTTCTGGCTTAATTTTAAATCTTTATGGCTGGCATGGAAACCGAATTTAATTATTGTTAATTTTTGTTAGTGTTTTATTACATTACAATCTGCTACCCTCTTGAAACTGGTTCCAGCTGTGCAGAAGTGTGGTGTGTAAGTCCTTGCTTAAAAGGAGTGATGTTACCATATTGAAGACTATATTGTGTGTCACATATGAGCATGCATTACACTTACAACTGGGATTCAGGGAAATAGACAAAGTATGTCTTTAATTAAATTCCTCTTATTTCACACCTGTAATTGTCAATAGTCTCATCTGAATGCTTTAAGGTAGACAGTGTTGGAATGAACTGTCTAACCTCTTTTGGCACTAGAAATACAGTTTGCCAATTAAAATGTAATTACTGTTCATCAGTATTTCTTCATAAAACTTTTTAAAAAAAAAAAAAATTACAGAAAGAAATTAGCACCCCTATTGTGGTATTGCCTTTAAGCTTCACATAAAAACCCCTGGCTTAAGTCAGGTACGACTATGAAAATTTTAGAAACTAGTTTTGTTACAAGCACAGTGAAATTTTCAGAATAGTCTCCTGATTTTAATTGCTCACTGCTATCACTCAAAAGGAATGAGGTAGGTTATTCTCAAAATAGCAGGTCCATGTATTGAAAATTACCAGTCTTGATTGAGACTCAGTTCTAGAGGCATTCAGTGAAGCATGGCTCTTCAGAAGTTTGGAGGGAGGGTATTTTTTTTTCTCCAATACGGAGAGGCCAATAGTAAGCAGAATAAAAAGGAAAAAAATAGTAGGGAATATAGGAAAGTATATGGGGCTCTTCACAGGCTGTAATTATATATTGCACAGTATGTGCTGCAGTGTTATCTGGCCAGACAAATGCAATATTTTTAACTAAATAGCTCTATTAAAATATTTTAAAAGTTACACTGTTAAGTATTCAGAAACCAACAAACTCTAAATTAAAAATGTTTATAGCCCTTTGCTTATGAAGCAATATTCTGTTTCTCAAATAAAGCATACGGTACCATTCTAGGAGCGTTTGCCAGCACCCTGTACTGTCCCCGTTAAGTGCATTCACTAATCACTTGGCTGCAGACTCACATTCATTTTTATGCTCTGTCTTCCTGGCCAAATGGATCTTGAATTCTTATTTCTTCATAAGGTCATTGCTTTAACAGGAGGAGCACCTTCTCCTCCGCTCTTCCCCACGTCCCTGTGAAGTAGGCCTGTGTTTAGGGCATGGCTTTGAGAGGTAAGATATTACTGATAGAAATGTCTTCAGGCAGAGGAAAGATTTTAGTCTGGATATCCCACATCCTAGGCATCTGCTTTAACTACTACACTTCTGTAAAAAGGAAGAACGACTACCAGGCTGTGCACTAAAAATCTTCAGCATCCATTTCTGGGTTTTGTGTTCTAAAAATACCATAACAGGGTCATTATGGGAGGAATGTCTGAGTTTTGGATCCTCATAGTGTTTTGGGTCTCATGAAGAAACCAAGCTGCTCAGAAATGTCACATGCTTTTGGTCATTCATGGAAGCAGATGTGTTTGGTGGGGGGAGCCCTTGAGAGCACATAAACTCAGGCACATATAAACTCTGAACATGTCTATTCGGCACCAGACCACTTGGTCATTTAATGCTCACTGTTTTGGACGTTAAGTGTCTCAATCTTCATTACGGGATACCCTAACAAGCCAAATTTCTTTTCTCCATCTAGCATCACATACCTTATGACTACTCACTGAGCTTTCTGTATGATACAGATCTTACCCTTATTGGGTATGAGTAATGGATTTGCTTTGAAATGAGCTGAACAAATTACTACAGTATAGAAGGCTGTACCATGCATATGAGGGTTTAGAAGAATAGTGGGACTATGAGAAAGTGTGATGATGACGATAAAGGATACAGTAAGATATACAGTGCAAAGGTACTTCCGGCTTAGATTATCAGTCTTTTCATGTTTATAGTTACTGTTTGATTGTATAGTTATACAGACTGTTTGTACAAGTGTAATCAGGGAGTGGCCTTTCCTGCACTGACAGCTCTCTTTCTTTCCTCCCTTCCAGTGTGGAACAAATTGACTACGTATGAGTACATCCTGCAGCAGCGTCCCCAGCAAGAGGTGAAAGAGGTAGACAAGCAACTGGAGTCTTGTCCCTCCCAAGTGAGACCCAGTCAGGTACTCATTGTACTTTCAGTCCATTTCTCAAAAACAGCCTCGCTTGTCTGTAGTGTAAAGTTTGCTTCACTTTTGTGAGCTCCAAATTTTAGAGCCGGTTGCTAAAGATAAGACTTTAGAGGTACTTTGGTGGAGTCGAGTAGGATGTGAGAGAATGTAAGGCCTGTAATTTGATGAACACTTTAGGCATAAGCAAATACTACTTTCAAAGGAATCAATCCCACCCACTCTCTTCCTCCACCACTTGTTTTAGGCCCTGCACTATCTATTCTCTTCTGCCAGCGCAGCTGTTCATTACAGTCATGCAGTGAACAGGGTGGGGGAACTCATCTGGGTAAGAATAAACTTTATTAAAAAAATAGTTGAGCTCATGTTTAGCTCTCCCATCTCCCTCCCATTTGGTTCACCAAGCAGTCATATAAATGCCCGTGTCAGCATGAACGAGGATGGCTGAAGAGTGGGAAGGGTCCTGTCACTAGAAAGGACAGGACCATCTGTTTGGGTGGCAGTGCACATCTTGCTGGCTTACTGGAGTGTTATCGCAGGTCATGACTGAAAGTGAGACAGGGTCTAAGGCTGGAGAAACTGGGGCTAATCATCGAGCAGCTAATAATACCAAATAGTTTAACCATCTTGAAAAGGAAAAGAACACCAATCTTTTTCAGAAATGACCCAGATGTCTGCTTTTCTTTGAATTGAATCTACATAGTAATAAGAGTCCTTATGATTACCATGATGTTGATTTGTATGTCTGTATAAAGACTTCTACAAGCTTTTTAATGCTATTACACTCTGCAGTGACATATATATTCTGCTATGAATTGAGAGGTTCAGTGTAATTTATTTTGCTGCAAGGCAGCTCTATCCCTGGAGTTACTCAAAATTTGACTGGACAAACTTTGTACTGGCTTTGATGGGGGAGTTGGGCTACAAACTTCCAGAAATTCTTCGTAGTCTAAATTATTCTGTGATTCTGTGAGCCCCTGGAACTTTATCTAGCTTTATGCAAGTAAGTTACCTACTATACAACCAGGTTTATATTTCATAAGAAATTAATTAAATCCAAGCTTCATCCAAGTATTCTGTGTAGACACTGGGATCTCTCTGGACTCATTCATAGTTCTTCACTATCAAAGCAAAGGGGAAAGTGAGCTAATTCCCTTTCATTTAATATGGAGACCCCAGCTTTTTGTATATATTTTTTTACTGCCTTGGAAAAGTTGAACTTTCAGTTTAAACAGAGGTTTCCATAACAACAAAAATATTTGGCACTTTGAGCCATAGAGCTTTGCTTACCATGAAAATTAAAACATTAATAAAGTATTAGCTCTAATAATTTCCTAGTTACTGAATTTTGATTGATACTGAAAATATATTTGAACAGGGATGGACTCTGTGTGTGTGCACATTTGGGATGCAGCCATTCAGTTATGTTCTCCCATCTGCTCTGGTGCTTATCTAGATATGTGTGAATATGGTTAATTTGAAGCAGCAAGCCTGGAAGAAGCAGGGTGAAAATGAGTGCTGTGTTTCAGGACTGCAGTTAGTACCTTGGGGAACAAGAAAGACTGGATGATGCCCAGTAACATTGTTAAGAAAAATGTTAACCCACCAGATTTTCCTTGTTTCTTACATAGCAACCAGAGATAAACACAAACAAATAGATTGGAGTATGAGTACACTAAGTGACTTGCCTTTTGTAAGCTGTGTTGACTACAGCCTTCTTTAGCTTAAACACAGAAATCCTTTGTAATTGATCCAAGATGTTGCAAGCATAAAATGGAAATCATCCTCTTCCCACTTTTGTCTGAACTGTTCATTCATTTTAGGGAGTAAGAAGAAACATGCATTTCCCCTTTAAACCTTGTTTTTGAGCCGTATTCAAGCTTGGGTGTTGGTTTTGGCTTCAGTTTTCCATGTTTGTCTGTGGTTTAAGTCTTCGGCTATGTTCAGGTTAAAGGATTCTTATGTGCTTGTAGAATCCTTCTCAGAACATGCACAAAGTAAAAGCCCTAATTTTGCACACTTGAGTGGTTCAGATGTCACAAAAAATGCAAAACAGTTGGACATATACAGCTTTTGCCTCTATTTCTATACCCAAAGCAGCATGTGCAAGTAACGGGTTTTTTCTGTAGGCAGTTGCATAGCAGTCCAAAGAAATATGAACCAAACCAAAACCGGTGCTTTAATGCATAAGTGCATTCATACCAGGGAGCTGGCTTTCATAGTGAGGCCAGCTGGGATGTGATTTTTTTCACATTCCTAAAGCTTTGAACTTGCTTTGGACACTGATTCAGGTTGGTGAAGCTTGATTTTAAATAATAAACATGGATTTTACTCAGATTCCCTCACATTTTCAATATTGCTTCTCTCTTCCAATGTCTGGTTAAGATGAACCTAGTCTTCACTCTCAACCTCAATGCTTGCAACAGACCCACTTTCCCTGGGACAAGAATCACTTTTTCCTGTTCAGTTCTGCCTCTCCTCCAGCCAGACAACATTTCAAGGGCACTGGCTGTCACTGAAGTGGATAGTGAGAGCAGCTGAAGCAGGCAAGGGAGCTAAATTCATCCTGAAGTTGTAACCACGAAACTTGGGGTGGACACAGCTGGTATTCAGCCTGTAGAGGAGGTCTGAGCATAACCAGGATTTGCAAGGTGGCAATGAACTTGGGCAGTCTGTTGATTGAGCAGTCTGTTTTCAGCAAGAGTAAGAGCTGAATCCTAACAACCCAATTGCAAAGGGTGGCTTTGTCTTGCTGTTGCAGTTGCTAGCTGTCCTGCTAACAGCTGAGGGAGGCTGGGACTCGGTGCTGTGGTTGTAGTTTTTGTCACACTGAGAGAATGTTGTATTTTCTACTGATCAAGTCTTCTTCCATTTGTTTCTGCTAGTCAGCTCTAATGGTTTACTTTCTTTTATGTGGCAGCTTTGGCTATAAAGGTGGCTGAAATGAACAAGATGGATTTTAAAAAACTCTTTCATTCCCTGCTTGGAAAGAGTTGTTCGTGATATTCTCAAGATGTATCCTTTATTAATCTTCTTTGAAATGCCAGTCCTGCAGTCCCATCTGTATGCTGTGGACATTAAGCCCTGATCATTTTCAGTTACTCTGCGCAGTTGTATGAGGTTGTCTCCTGCTGCGGCTCATTTCAGCCACAGCGTGCTTTCCTCTGAAAAAACCTACATCTCCCTGGCCATATGCTTACAGTGACACGAGATTGTGTCTAGTCTCCTTCATTTGTGACTCAGGTGCACGAGGCTTGGATGTAAATGTTAAGAATTTGGTCCCCAAGGAGATTTCATTACGAGGACAGGCTGAGAGAGCTGGGGTTGTTCAGCCTGGAGAAGAGAAGGCTGCGAGGAGACCTTATTGTGGCCTTTCAGTACTTAAAGGGGGCCTATAGGAAGGATGGGGGCAATCTTTTTAGCAAGGCCTGTTCTGACAGGACAAGGAATAATGAATTTAAACTAAAGAAGAATAGATTTAGACTAGACATAAGAAAGAAATTTTTTTCAATGAGTGTGGTGAGGCACTGGAACAGGTTGCCCAGAGAGGTAGTGGAGGCCCCATCCCTAGAAACATCCAAGGTGAGGTTGGCTGGGGCTGTGAGCAACCTGATCTAGTTAAAGGTGTCCCTGCTTACTGCAGGGGAGTTGGGCTAGATGACCTCTAAAGGTCCCTTCCAACCCAAAGCATTCTATGATTCTATGATTTGAAGAAACCTTTATGTACATTTGGTGTTCAGTTGATGATGAGCAATGATCTGACATCAGTTACAAGTTCTATTTGAAATACATGTGGTCAATTTCCGTAGATTATTAATCCTGCACTTGGATAAACCCTGCCTATAATAGCCCCAACTAGCATAATTCTCAAATCAGAAAGTTCTAGTGTTTGGGTTTGCTAAAACAATTGCCTTCAAATTTAATGTTACCACCTATAAACCAGCTGCAAATTCCTTTCCACCTCTTTTTTTTCTTTACAAGACCAATTAAACTCAGCATGTTACAAAAGGCAGCAGGCCTGAAGTCTTTCCAGTTTGGCAACTGTCTTATCTAACAATCACAAGAATCCTGAGACTTGAGACATTGATGCCAAGATGTTCAAAAGCAACTAGCAATTTTGGAGTATGTCTTCTGGTGTGTAAAGAAGGCTGGCCAAAGTTGATCAGACCAATGTGCTGGCTCTGACACTGGCCAATTGTGGATGCTGAGAAAGAATGCAGGAGTTTTAGTCCCCAGTACCCTCTCCCAGCACTTGGCAATATATGTTAGGGGCTTTTGGAGCACAGAGCTTCGAATGGCTTTGTATTTGCTGTTGTCTTCCACAAGCTTTTCTCATTTCTTCTTGAATCCATGTAACATTTAGCACCTGGAGCATCCTATGGCAGTGAGTGCTACAGCTTATTTCCATGCTGTGTCAAAAATGCAGCCTTTCTTCTGTTTCTTTTGAAAGTACTACCTGATTTTTTTCATTTGATGTTCCCTAAATGTTGTGTTAGAGAGAAGGTAAACAATTCTGTGATTCTGTGAATTATTCCCCATTTGCTTTCTCCACTCATATCTGCCCTGAGTATTTCCTCCCCTGACTGAAGAGCCCTGGCCCATTAGCTGTTTCTTATACAGAAGCTGCTCCATACTTTTCATTGGTCCTGTCACTCTTCTCTGTACCTTCCTCCAGGTCTTCTGTGGGGAAGATGCTGGAACACTATAAAGAATCCAGTGTCCAGGCTGCCAATTAATTTATTCAGTAACATGAAACTGTTTTCTTTTTGGAGTTTTTTAATGCCTTTCCTTTTCATTCCTACCATCTGAAATTATTTCTTGGCTGACACTGAATGTGCAGCTCCATGAATTCTTTTCTAGTTCAGAGACCATTGCTTTGTATGTAAAGTTTACACTACTTTTCCCATGTGCATCACTTTACGTCTTTACATCTAGCAATATTGATTTTTGTGTGCATTTTATCATCCTGTAATTCAATATTGGAAGAATCTTCTGCAACTCTTTGCGGCTGGCTTTCATTTTTATTGCCTTACATAAGGGAGTATCATCATCAGACTTCATCTCACTGTTCTGCTCTTTTGTCAATTGTTTGTGAATTTGTTGAAGTGTAGAGGCCCTGGGTCTCTCAGGAACCCTTTCGTGGGACGTCCTACTTTGTCTTCATTTTCTCAAGTTTGCTGATCAGGCTGTTCAGACAAATAGGTCCTCATGAGCTTGTTTAAGCTTTTTTGGAAGCTAATGCGTATCACATTTAAAATCCCTCCATCTTTACCACCTAAAAGTTGCCTTAAAATGCATGTGTCTTTGTAGTCATTGCACACTAAAATGTTTAAGAGGAAGTTGTCTTCCTAATTATTCAAGTTTAAGAGCGGCTGAAAAGTAGTGTCAAGGTTCTCGTGAGCATGGTTTATCCTTTTTGACAATGGAGCTTCATATGCTGCATCAGTTGGTGCTCTGACATCTTAACTGTGTCCTTTTGAGGGAGAACTGAGAGCCCTTTTCTGTAATGCAGACACTTGGATTTAGGAGGCTTATTCATTGAGTCTTCTTGTATGTTTATGAAAATACGCAATCTTAAAGTTCAGGATGGCATTACTTTGAATTCATCTATACCTGAGGCAAATGAGCGGTGTATCACATTCATTTTTTAAAAAACAGCAGTAATTAGCCATACAGGATTCACACAAGAAACAGAAAATACTTCATGTTTTTCCTGTATGTTGCATGCTTTCATTTTCCTCACATCTATTTTGAATTTAGAAGAAGTTTTTTGCATTCACTGCTTAGCTCCTATGATTGAACTGTGTAACTAATGGAGGCTTTAAGTGATATTTTGAATGTGCTCCCAAGAAATGATTAAGCTGGTCTCCATAAGTGTGATTTGTTTTTGTCACATGAAATACTGAATGGACTAAATGAATGAATCAGGGACTTCTAACTGTCTCAATCTTGGTTTTCCATCTTCTTAAGCAGCAGACTCCAGCTGAGTTTTGGCCGTGCTAGGTGTAAGGACAGAAAATGTCAGGCATGTGGCTGAGGAAGGAGGAAGAAGACATCTCTGTAGTGAAAATCCCTCTTCTCCACTCGATGACTATATTGGTCTGAAAATGTTAAATCTTTTCTTTTTTTTTTTTTCAGGAGGCAGACTTTTTTTCAGATAACCCTGGCTATACAGACCCTGGTATTCAAGTAGAGGATTTCTCAACAGCAACTTCAGGAAAAAGGTGAGTAAAGTCATAGATAGGAGTCTCCCAGCAGCATGTATAGCGAATGGGAAATTGTCATCAAAGTCACTGATGGACCCTAAGACCAAAGTACTTAGGAGGATAGGGAGCACAAATATTTTGACCAAGGCATGGTGAAATCTTTGAGTTTCAGGATGGTAAATACCTGCAGGAGTATTTGCCTTCCCTCCCCTGGGAAAATATCTTTCCTAGAATACTCTGTTTAGGCTGTTTTATATTAAAATTACTTTAAAGCTACCCGATTTGTCCTGTAATTCCTATATTGATTCATTATAGTTATATGATTTCAGGTTCTCAGGTTCGAGAGATGAATCACAACAGCAAAGTTTGTAACACAGGCAAGCACCCATGGGAAAACAGCATCCTTGTCTCTTAATTAATCCCTGCCTATTAACTCATGTCCCTGGGGAAGGGAGAGGAAAGAAACAGTTCATATTTTACACAGTTGCACAGAATAAGTTACTCTGCAGTCTTGCTGGGAATGCTGTGCAAGGCAGGGGATGATTCAGTCAGGCTGATGTGTATGTGCAAGCAAAGTGGACATCAGTGTTAAGTCATGTCTAAGGGAAGGACCTTGTATATCTGCCGTGTGTTTTAGCTTTTCAAAGCTCTATGTCCGCAATGATGAAGCTGAACCCCCGCAGAGCTCCTCTCCTGACCTCTCATCTCTTCACTTTGCAGTCCCTTCTCAGGTAAGCAGGAGACTTGCTATATACCATAACCTCTGCAGCTGACAATTCACCAGGTTGCATGGGTGCACACTCACTCTAGCATGGACTGTGGTTACCTTCTTTGTACACATGCTCTCCCTGTCCTCAGCATGTATGTGCAGGTGTGGCTGTTGCCCTGCAGTCACTACATCCAAGCGATACTCTCCTGTCTCAGCTCACACATGTGATCAGATATATTCTGCAGTTCCCTCATAAGCTCACAGGCTCAGCTGTAATACAGCTGTAATACAATGTCTTGCTGCTCCAGTGCAGTTCAGTGACTGTATCTTTACTACTTCATTGATGTAACAAGCTGTGCATGTTTCTGTAGAGCAAAATCCAACAGTTTATATGTTCAAATATGGAAGTTAAAGCATCTGCCCAGGGGAAGATGGTGTATGTGGATATGAAACTTGAGTATGAAACAGCTGTCCAAAGTCAAGTTTTCTGTGCTCTTGATATTCACATACCTACGTCCAGATTCCCTCCCCGCTTGCTTAAATGGCAGGTGCTGGTGCTTTCCCCATTCCCTCCAGGCTTACTAATCAAAGTCTTGTCATCTGGATGATAAGAAAAAATCCTTTTCAACTGTACTTGTATTTTGGACAAGAGCTATCTCTCTCTTGAGATGTCCTGTGCTATGTGACTTTTGGTCCCCTCTTCTAGTTTGACTCTAGAAATGCATTTGTCCACAAGTCTCTCATACCTCCTGCATGAGACAACAGCTTAAAGGTACCTATACACAGAGAATCGCTGTATGCAGATAATGTGTGTGTTCATTAAATACCTGTTCTTTATCATTGCTTTATAGTAACTCAGTCTTAAACTATAAAATATCCTTGGTCTTTTGTCATACCTAATGCTCATTATTAAAAATAGGAGGAATTAAAAAGAGGTAGAAATTTAAAAAAATTAGTGTCTCATTACTTTGGGCTGATGAAGTGACTTCCCTTCTCTTGGACCTCTTGCTTTCACAGCAAAAGAAAAAAAGAAGAAAGAAGACACATAGAGCTTCTTCCTCAGCAATGGACAGCAGACCTAAAACACACACTAGACCTTGGCCCTTTTTCCCAGATCCCCAGTCAGGTGAGAGTGCACCAGTCAGCTTCTCTGCTTCTGGACTGGATTTCTGGTTGCTGGCATACAGAAATGAAGTGTGTCATGAAAACCCAGCACTGGCAAAAAGTTAACTTGCCTGAGAAGCGAAAGTGAGTGCTTCTGAGTGCTTGGAGGTACTCTAAAATGATCAGACTTGGGTACACTGCTGAGTGTAGAGTTCTGTAATTTTGCATAAATATTTAACACTAGTGGATCAGCCATATCAGAGTTCCTTGTTGACATCTTTGTGGGGCTGAGGGATATCTCTCTCTCTTCTTAAGGTTTCTTCTCCCTTTCTTTCCATCTGTAGAGTTCCCAGCCACAGCTGCTGCCACCTCATCTTCCCACAGCCTTCGCCTCTTAGTGCCAGCTTTTCCTCTGAGAGCTGCTCTGCCCCCCAGCAACACCAGCTTCATCCAGGCGGCGGGACCCCCAACTGACTATGACTCAGAGTCTGTCGAGTCCATGGATGAGATTCCTGTGGCTCAGACTCGCCTTGGGAGCACAGCCCTTCATAGGCCTCCTAAGAATAGGTCAAGCAACTCTCAAGACTATCCCTTGTCCACAGACAATCCCAGAGGTGACAGGAAGAAGAATCTGTATTCTGGGCACAAGGTAAAAAGGAAAAGCTGCCAGCAAGACAGATGCATGGAACAAGACCTGGAACTTTTTTCCAAGATTCCTGCTGTGTTTGTAAGTAAGAGCAGTGGAGAACCTCATGTCTCTCAGCCCCAGCCCAGTGAGAGCACATCCGAGCCACACCACAGAAAATGCACCAGCAAGCAGCACGTGGGCAAACATGATCCATGCTTTAAGGACATAAGGACAAACACCACGGCGGCCTAGTGATCAGCGTTCCAAAGCCATAGCCTCTGGGGACCAGGCAAGAGGTTCTCTTTGTATTTGTGTGTTGCTTTTCAAAGATCTTGACTCCAGTGACTCATCTTTTTCCCTGGAGGTAGCAGCATCCCTTTACCTGATGCTGTCCATCTTCCAGCAGAACTGGCTGAGAGGCAGTAAAAACCCCGCTGCATCATTGTTTCTGGCTGCTGCCTCTTCGTAAGACAGGAGTGCCCCTGAGCCCAGTTCCACTCTCTTTGTCAAGGGGGAACAGCTTCCTCTGATAGGGATGTGCCCAGGGCTGCCACTGGTTAAGGACTGCAGCATTAGTACTCTGTACAGTGCTAAGGGACTCATGCTTGCTGTGTGTGCATGCTATCACACTGCAGTGAGACATTTCTCATGCGTGGCCAAAGGCAAGAGGCAATAAGGTAGCCAACCTGAGGTAGGCATATTGCTAGAGAACTATAGTGATTTCCATAGGAAGGGGCTGTACCTTCCTGGCCCTCTGCACATTAGTACTGCAGTAACTTTCTGGGAGAGTGCATGGGGAAGAACAAGGCTGCATCTCTGTGGTTCCCTGCACCCTGAAAACTAAATTTCACATCTGCCTACACCCTGCTAGACTTTGGATCATGTGCAGGGGCTTCAGCAGGTGGTCAGGGAATAACCTCAGGATTGTCCTGTCCCTATACTGCTTTCCACTGTGCACCCTCAAGCCCAATTCACCAGCATGTATTCTCTAAGGCAGCATAGTTTGACCTGCTCCGCCTTCCCAGCAGCCTAGGGTGCTGCCCCACAGTACAGCTTTCTCATCAGAAGCTCTGGGATACAGAAGGTCCTGAAACCTTTCAATTTGCTGGGCTGTCAGATCCACATTAGTCCACAGCCAAGCCTGGAGTCTCTGTATTGCAGAAAAATCCTGCACCAGACGCTAGCATGTAGCCAGTGCCTCGAGTCGCAGCACCCTGTGCTGGTGGTGAGAAGCAGAGAGCTGTGTGGGCTGCCAAGCTACAGCACCTCATCTTTCCCTGCCCTCTTGGCTTCCCCAGGCAGCACGCCTCATTTCAGATTCCTGGCTGAGTGCTGAGGCTGGGGCTGCCAGCAAGCCCAGATCTGCCCAGCAGCCAGCTAACCTCAGATCCCAGGACAGCAGCTATACACACATCCCATGGATGTGCCTGACAAGATTTGTCATTTCACAGCTGTGGCACCTGCACAGCCCCTGCCTCCCTGGCACAGCCAGCACCCTGAGCAGTTGGCTTGGCCAGTTGCACTGTTTCTGGACAGGCCCCTCGTGCTGTACGGTGCTGGCGTGTACGAACACATAGGTGCACCAGCAGAGAAGAGGAAGCCTGGGAAGTCTATCACCCTACCAAATGTTTTGATGCATGGAAACCACAAACAACCCTTTCTCCAGACTACAGTGGGTACAGGTCAGGGAAGAACAAGACAAAGTATGGTCCTATGTGAGTTGAGCTAAGCTGTTCCTCCCCTTGCCTAGCTGTCTGCAAGCATTCATCAGAAATGGTTCAGAGCAGGACAGGCAATCTGGGGACGAATGCTCTTTGGGCACAGCCAACACAGGACAGGCAGACTGGACTCTGAGCTTTGATGTATGTACTTCCCAGCCGGGCTGTTGCCCATCATCCCAGTGCTCACACTGGCTTCTGTGCTGCTCTGAGGTACACACAAAGTCCACTTCCCCTGGAGCTTTAGGCCCACACAGTTTTCCTTCTGGAGAGCTCAATTCAGCAAAGAGAGGCAGGAAGGTGCCTGCTGTATGTTGAAAGCCTCTGCCCATTCTGGTAGCACCCCTGAATGCCAGCAGTTGGCCCAGCTGCCTCAGGAAGCACCCCAGCTCTATCACCTGGCCAACACCACGCTGTGTGGTGCTCATGCAGTGGACATTTCAAGTAGTGCTTGCCTTCAAGGAGAAGACAATGTGCTGCAGCTGCTCCTGGAAACACATGATCCTTGCAGAGCTGAAGCTGGAGTAGGGGAGTCCTCCCTTTGCTGAATGGTTTATGGGGTAAGTGTGGCTCACAGACAGGACCATCCAGGCTGAGCACTCTCTGGGAAAGTCCTTGGGAAATTCTGGCAAGGCAACATAGACATGATCACTGACCCCAGGCTTCTTTAAAGGGCTGTCTTACCATCCTTCTCTGTTGTTGGATTTTTGACTCCCGAAAGAGCTGGAATGAGGAGCCTTGACTCTTCATCGAGTTATACGAGCCATTAATCAGCAAAAGTGAAGTCTTATGCAGCTGTTGAAGTCATTATGTCTAAATTTGCAGGAAGGGTTGGCCTGTGGTAACGCTCCTTGCAGCTTCCCTTGCTGCTGTGGCCAGTGGTACCTGCTGGCAGTGTGACCCTTTGGAAAAGCAGGCATGTGTGGGACCAACCCTTGCGGACCAGCAGGCATGGCCCTGCTTGTCTGCAGAGACCAGGGCATCTGCTCACTGATGGATCCTGGATAAAGTCCTTCCAGTTGTTTCTCCTCATATCTGCTATCATCCAAGAGAACTACACTCTGCAGTAATGCTGGGCTCAGAGTTTTCAAAGGCCAGCTGTCCCCCACCCAGAAAGCATTGGTAATTTCTCTCCAGCAGGTGCCCCTGAGGAGACCTCTTGTGTTTTCTTATCCTTTGTCCGTGCAGAACCTGTCCCAAAGTCATGTATGGAGCTCTTTAGTAGCTCTATCCACAATAAAATTTTCTATGCCCTTTGCTAAATGGTTTCCTCCTTTTTTGCAGTCATTGATTTATCTGCCCAGTTGTTGGCCCCCCAACTTTTCCCTGCACCTCTGATGTCCCAGCTGGGCTTAGCACCTTAACCTGTGTGTGGGTGACAGTGGTCCCTTCGCTGTAGGTCTCTATGCATAGACTGCCTTCCCTGCAAGGTAGGGGGTAGACCACCTTCTCCAGGAGGTACGTAACTCCAGCCTGGTTTCTGTGCTGCAGCAGGGTGAGCACCACAGGAAGGAGGCCAGTCCGGCTGTGCACCATGCTGCAGGAAGGCTGCTGAACCGCTCGGGGGCACGGGAGCTGGGTTTCCTGGTCTATCGTATGTCCAGGGAAAGAAAGGTCCGGCATGTCCTGAGGTGGCAGGTTCTGAGCACAGGCTGGGAAGGAAGGGGATGTCCTACACTGCTAGCAGTTTGCTGGGACATGACCCTCTCCAGGAGCACAGGGCTCATCCTCAGGTTGGGAAGGAAGGGGATGTCCTACACTGCTAGCAGTTTGCTGGGACATGACCCTCTCCAGGAGCACAGGGCTCAACCTCAGGTTTGCCATTTAGTTGTCCTCCCCTTCCCTGCCCATTGTCCTACTGAGAACAGCCCAGAAGCCCCATATTCCCCTGCCATGCACACAGACACCCACCTGAGAAGGGTCTCTACCTCCAGAGTCCCTGACAACCAGGGCAGAGCCCCACACAGTGCTGGGCTGTACTCGTTCATTCCTGCCCCTGCAGGCTTCCCTGCAAGGAGCAGGAGTCCACACTTCTTGTTGGAGGCCAACAGGGTGCCCTGGGGACCCTGGTTTGGGAGGTAGGGAAGACATCCTTCTGCTGCCTTCCGCTGAGGCATGGGACATTTTCTCCACTACATCAAGTGCTGGAGGAGACAGAGTAAATCAAGGCTGTAAAACATGCAATGCCTTGTCCGTGCGTTGGGACAGCTGGATGCTGAGTGAAGAGTCAGGCCCCAGCAGCATTGGACTCTGATCTCATGAACCTCATGGGCAGCAGGCAGGATTGTGTGTGCTGCGTGGCATTTGATTTAGGTTGGGCTTTGTGTTTTCACCACAACCACATTAAAGGAGGACTGTTGAAGATGCATATTGGGTGCCCAAGGGTGAAAATGGTGAGACTGAGATGGTTTTAGCTCCTGGGAGAATTGCTCTCTGCCCCAGATCAGTTCTCAGGCAAGGATGAACCTTTGCAAGTGCAGCTGAGTGTGTCAGCTGAGCAGCTTCATGCCAGGAGGGCCTTTTGCAGATGCCGCTTTGAAATATACATGTGCCCTGGCTTTGGGTGCTGTGTGTGGTATCCCACAAGGTCATGGAAGTTTTCCATGGCAGGCACCTGGCACCTTTCCAGGATGGTCACAGCATGGGAAGTCACAGCCTGGACTTGCTCCTTCCCCACCTCATTTCTGTCCTTTTGGGACCCTAACCTGTGGGTTCAGGTGCCAAGGGTGTTTCTGCTGCCCAGGCAAGGCTCACGGCTGCTGCACTGGGTGTGGAAGCTCCAAAGCAGACCTGTGGCAGTAACCAAAACGAGGGAGTCGCATTAGGGTACTGCCATAGAGGCCAGCGTGCAGGCAGATCAGTCCTGGCCACCACACCAGAGGATTGCAGTGACTGCAAGCTAAGCCCTTGCTACAGCCCAAGGCCATCAGAGAGCTGGGTGAGGTGACAGCAGAACTCCTGATGCCTTCAGCTCCCCATCGCTGCAGAAACATTGAGTTTTGGCGTCCCTGAGCACCTTCTCCAGCATTAAATAAAAGGGTTTTTTTGTTAGGGCACAAACTCTCCCATCAGCAGGAGGCAGTGCCCTGGACTGGCTGTTCCCGCCACGCGCCACTGTGGCTTTTCATCAGGAACAAGCAGTGCATTTGCAGGATGGTGACAGCTTTCCGGAGTCCTCTAAAATCACAAATTCTCGTCCCTGGCCACTTGCCAGCAGCTGTGCCAGGCCTTGCAGCACGTTCCTCTCTCAGCCTTGGCGTGGGACGTATGCCCTGCTTGCTTTCATCTTCGGGTGTGACTCAAGTTTCTTAGTTTTCTCTTTGAAGTCAAGGGGACCTTCCTTTGGGAAATGATTTTTGGTGAGTCTGTTCCTGGTCTCTGCTTTTGACACATCCTGAGAGCATCTCAAGGGGCTGCCTTGAATTGCAAGGGGGGAGAAGGAAGCTCCTGCCAGAGGAGGGTGCGTTTTCCCCCTCCTCTCTGCCCTGTGCTGTGCATCACAGCCAGGACACCAGCTTGAGTGGCAGACCCCCC